CTCTGTCTCCCCGGAGGCTATTTTAGTGTTGATATTTGTTCAAAAATTCATCCAAGTAAATGATCATTTAAAAGCTGGTCACCCAACCCAGGCAGAACTAGAGCAAAGCCTTGAGGCTAACTCCTGAACCCATTCCAAATGAAAGGAAGGGCATTCTTCTCAAGGCGACACCTTGTTCCTCAGTAACACAGGCTGTGTGCCCACAGTGGACTTCCATGGTTACCCAAACACAGAGATCTGCCCTCCAGGACTCTTGTGATCTTCACTTGATCTCCATGGCCACAGCACACAGTTGAGCAAACAGCACTTCTTCCTCATCAGATTCTCATATTTAGAAAGGAAGACATTCAGAGAACCAGTTTGCCTCAAAACATTAAAGTCAACGAGCAGGTTTATAGTCGTGAATATTGTGACCAAATGAAGGCAAGTCAAGATTTAGGAGTCTAATTTCCTACGACTAGGAGAATGGCTACTCAGAACACTTCATTCAACAGTTGTTGATATTTCAACACAGTATTTTTTTTTTTATTTTGTGTCTGGTTCTGGAGAAGAAACCCAGGATTTTATATATGCTAGGCAATTGTTTTACCACTAGGCAACACTTCCAGACCAGAGTGGTTTTCTTTGTATTTTGGGGACAGGGTCACATGTAGCCCAGGCTGGCCAAGAACTGGCTGTACAGTTCAGAATTACGTTGAACTTCTGCTCTTCCAGCGTCCACCTCCCCTGTGCAGGAATTACTTAGTCATATGCAACCAGGCCTGGCTTATGTAGTGCTGGGATCAAACAGAGCCTATTGCTTTGTGCATGCTAGGTATGTACTCTATAAGCTGGGTCATGTCTCCAATCCCCAAAGAATATATTGTAAATAATAGTATTTTATAAGTTATAGAGATTCTGGTTTTTTGATAATGGTATTGATAAAAGAATAGCGCCATTCTTAGGAAATGCATACTAAGGTACTTAGGGGGAAGAGTCATGATATTTGCATTCCAAACTATTAGTAAGAAATAAAGTGCCAGCTCTACACAGAGAAAGGTTTTTTTTTTTGTCTCAAAAAACTAAGGAAGAAAGGAAGAAAAGAAAGAAAGGAAAGAAAGAGAAGGAAGAAAGGAAGGAAATATAATGGGAAGAGAGAGAGGGAGAAAGAAAATGTGGCCAAAGGCTTAACAACTGGAAAACTTAGGCAAATGGCAAAAATACTCATTTTACTATTGCAATTTTTCTGCAGATATAAAAAAACTTTCTAAGTAAAATCTTTAGAAATGCACTATGTGTTGTGGATAGTGGGAGTACTTGCTCATCTGCATGCACCCATTCATGCGTGAGCCCAGAGCCAGAACACTGGGTCCTCTGCTCTATCCTGCTCTGCCTTATTCCTTTGCGACAGGGTCTCCTTGGAACCTGGAGCTCACAAGTGTTTTTTGGCCAGGCTAGTGTCCAGCAAGTTCCAGTAGTTCTCTTATCCCCACTCCACCACAGCACTAGGATTATAGGCATGCTCAGGACCGTGACCAGCTTTGTACATGGGGTCTGAGGATTTGAACTTAGGTCTTCATACTTACACAGCAAGCACTCTTACTGACTCAGCCATCTCTCCAGCGCCAAAAGTAAACTATCTCTTTAAAATCATGCATGCTCAAGAGCCAATGAGATGGCTCAGCAAGTAAAGATGCTCACCACCAAGCCTGACCATGTGCTTTCAATCCCCAGAACCCACGGAGTTGCAGGAGAGAACTTCCACAGCTGTCCCCTGACCTCCACACATGCCATGCCATGGCATGAGGGTTCCTCCCTGATGAATATGTATAATTTTAAAAGTTCAAAAACAGCGACAAATGCCTCCTCCAGACCAGCGGCTTTCACATTTTAAAACTATAACCCACCTATAAAATATATATCACAGAGATCCATGTGCCTCTGCCTCCCAAGTATGAGGATTAAAGGCGTGCATTACCACCACCTGGCTACAATACTAATTCTTATCTCACATGTGACACTTTGTGACTTTCCTAGTCTAACATGTTTTTGTTGTTAGATTTTGGACTTTTTGTATGGTGCTGTGCTGGAGATGCAACACAGGCCCTTGCACATGCTACATACACACTCTGTTACTGAGCTACACCCCAAGCCCCCCATGCCTGTGTTTGCTTTTAAAGATTTCTCTTATTTCTAATCTTTTATGTGTGTGCTTACATGTGTGCGTGTGTGAGCGTGTGTGAGCGTGTGTGTGTGTGTGTGTGTGTGTGTGTGTGTGTGTGTGTGTGTGTGTGAATGCAGTGCCTGGGGAGGCTAGAAGAGGATGTCAGATCCCTAGAGATGGAGTCATAGGTGGTTGTGAGCTGCTCAACATTGATGCTTGCAACTGAACTCCAATCTTCAAGAGCAGTGTGTGCTCTTAACCAATGAGCCATTTCTCCTCCCTCTTATGTATTGCTTTTAGTACTGGTCATTACCCATTCAACTGAATTAATGGCCACTGAAGGAGATCCCCGCATAGCAGGTGCTTCCTCCCGGACCCCACATTAGGCACAAACTACATCCAAATACCTGTTTTTACAGAGAGATCTTTCATTAAGCAGGGAAGAAAACTCAAGTGGCTGCTTTCTGACTCAGGCAAAAAAACAGCAGCAAATGACCTTGCAGGTGTCATCCTTAAGAGAAAGAGGGAGGTCTGTGTTAGAATGGGCTAGGACGCTGTGGTAAAGGAGATAGGGGATAAGGGAGAGGGGAAGGGGCCAAGGGGAAGGGGGAAGTGGTACTTGTCCTGGAGGGACAAAGGACTGCCTCTATATAGAGAGGAGACTGACATAGGCAAATGACAGTTTATAAAGGTAAAGGGGGAAACCCAGTGTTAGGATGAGGTGTTTAATTTTAATTGGGCATGTTAATTAGGTAAGCCAAAGGGGGATTTTGATTGCTGACCTCTGGTAGTCAGCCCCAGGAGGAGGAAGTAGCCAAATAAGGGAATGGACCTTTAGGCTAGCTTCGGGAATGTAATCTAACAGTTTTTTAGCAAGGCAGAGGAAATGGGAAGCAGGGCAAAGCCTGCCAGAGCCATATGCTCAAATGGGCTAGTGTCCCTTCAGCCAAGTAGTAGGCAAGCATATTTGAATATTGAAGTAGTTTTGACTTAGTACTATTACTTAGTATTAAGAAATACTGTTGCTGAGCATGATAGCACATGCCTGTAATCCCAGCAATTGAGGGAGTTGACTTCAAGGCTGGCTATTTAGTGAGACCCTGTCACACACAAATACACACAAAGCATGTATGAAATGATCAAAGAGTTAAAAAATCATATTTTTTAAAAAAGAAAAAAATGCTGTTGTCATTAACAGCTTGGCACCCTAATCTGTGTGGGATTTGAAAACTCACCTCTCTATATACAAAGAAAGGAACTCAACACGTGAAGACTCCATTTCCAGGACTTTGACAAATACAGCACTCACTGCTCACAGTGTGGACACAAACTGGTGATGTGGGAGTTCCGTCTGTGTGCTGTGATTGCCATTAATGAATAAAGAAAACTGCCCTGGACCTATAGCAGGGCAGAACTTAGGTAGGTAGGGAAAACTAAGTTGAATGCTGGGAGGAAGAAGGGTGGAGTCAGAGAGAAGCCACAGAGCTGGCTGAAGATAGACGTACTGAAACTTTGCTGGCAGGCTACGACCTCGTGGTGATGCATAGATTAATGGAGATGGATTAAATTAAGATGTAAGGGTTAGCCAATAAGAATTCAGAGCTAATGGGCCAAGCAGTGTTTTAAATAATAAAGTTTCTGTGTGATTATCTGGGTTCTGGGTGGCCGGGACAAACAAGCAGCCCCCTCCTACAAACTGGAGCATCTGTTTAGCAGACACATGGCACATTTGCTGATCTGATCACCTGATGGCCCATTAGGAACCTATTGTGATAAGTTCAGAATGGTTCTACTGCAATTATGAACTAAGATGGGAGGTGATTGGGCAGTTTTTTGTTGTTTTCTTCAGTGATGAATATAGAAGCCAGGTCCTTACCTATATTAGGCAAGCACACTACCACTGATCCACAACCCCCTGCCCATGGGCCAACATTTAGAGGGCAGCCTACCAGTGCCCAAAGAGCTGCCGATTCTGAAGCTGACAAGACAGTCAACTTCGGCTCTTTTCCACATCCACCCGAAGAAAAGCCAGCGTGTCAGGGACCCTGGGTGGGATTTGGCATCTGTACCCTCATATAGTCTACACTCAGAGTACCTGAGCATTCATTATAGGTGCTGGTAGCCCTTTGCCCTTAGGTATGCACCTTGAGAAATCTGAGTTCCCCCTTCCCAGGTCCTTGCTGCTTTCTTCCCTCTTGACCATTAGTCAGTCTCCATGCGAGCAGCTCATAATAATTTCATACTAACGGATTCATCCCAGCTGGAGATGCTCTACCCTGAATTTGGTGGGAAGGGATACTCTTCTTGTTAGGCATTTTCTCTGTGATGAGCCTCTACACCAACATAAATAATTCCAATCATAAATAATTCCAATTAGAGTGAATTAAACTGAATTAAAAGATGCCCATGTTTAATAGATGGCCTTACTCCCAAGTGGCCCCGGGGAAACATGGAGAGGGGAAGATCACACAAAACCCAGAGGCCATGTGTTCATTCTCTGGCTGGCAGTTTAAATAGCCTGTGGGAGTGGTCCCAACCTTTGGGGGGGGTACCATTTGGCGGGCTTTCTTAGAGGTGGAGTTTGGACTTAGGCAACTCCCAGGGGATGGAGCTTATGCCAGGAGCTGGGGTGAAGCCCCCAGGCAAACAATCCCAACTTTTTGTATTAAGGGGTATTAGGGAGCTGAGGTGATGCTTTAAAGGGGTGCCAGCGAACTGAGGTAAAGCCCCTCAACCAAACATTTTCCTTGGATAAAGGAGCACTGGCTCAAGTCTGGCTGCTTCCTGTAGGCATGGGACGACATGGGAGAGGGGAGACCTGGGAGTTGGTGGGCTCACACTCAGCGACAGATGTGGCTGGAGAGGCATCCCGTTTATTGTCATCCTGGAGACCTCAGGCAGCTGTTTCTTGAGGGAGATGAGAAGGCAGGTGGCTAGGAGAACCAGAAAAGAGGATTTGTGCTTCCTTGAAAGTCCACAATACATTGGAAGTTCACAATAGCATTTCAAAGACTGAAAAGTCTTACATTAGAGAAACTGGTCTAACTTTAATTTTAGCATTTTATAAATGTGGTCCACAAACACACCTTACTGTAGGCCTGACACTGCCTATACTAAGGGATCAATTGTGGTATAAAAGACGTTTTCCATTCCTCTTAACACACACCTCAAACCTCAGCAACCACTGCCTGCTTTGGATCTCAGTCTCTTTCCCAGGCCCCTTCTCTAATGGCCTGTCTGCCTTCCTGAACCTTGTTGTTCCTAAGCCCCTAGGAGCAGAAGGAGGGATATGGTAGAAAAGATAAGGACTGGGTTTAGTGGGCTACTGAAGCAGAAGAGATGACACAGTTCTTAGGACTTAGCCGATCAAGTCCTGCTTTAATTTAGGGCTCGTGGGTATTGTTGCCTGGAGGTGGAAGGGTGGGAGTCCCGGGAGTTTCCATTCCTCACCTACCCACCCAAGAGAGCATGCTCATTCTTCTTTTCTTCAATGGATGCTCATGTGAGAGAAGCAGAAATGTATACCCACTTCGGTGCCATTTCCCAGAGTGCTCCGCTGCCTAGGGCTATCTTTGAAGCAAGAACTTTTGTCACCAACCCCAATCCTCTTTCCTCTCTTCTCACTACAGACACTTCAAATCATAGCCAAGTAAGCCTTCCCCTGTTGACCAAAGCGGTTTGGGTCACTTCAGTGTGGCAGTCAGTCCCTCTGTAGGCTGAACACTACAGACTGTGCTAGGGTTAGCAAGAGGCAAGAGACGAAGAGAAACATGGCCTTGCAGCCCAAGACCTCCACTCCAAGAGAGGGAAGGCTGTCATACAGTGAGCCGTTGACCAGCTCCCAGGTGGTGTTGGCTACTTCCTCCACCGGGGCCCTTGGGGCCAGCAGCTTGGAGAGGAGGCTGCTGAACCTGCTCACAGTGGTGGCCATTGGCTCTGGACTGGGGCCTGGGCTGGATGTGGTTAAGTTCAGCTCCTCAGGGTCCATACACAAGCCATCAGAGGAGTGTTCAAAGACCACCTGGCTGAGGTCCAGGCCAGCCACAGAACCTGGGGAGGCGCATGCCACATCAGCCACACGCCCAGAGCCCTTCATCCAATCGCGCAGCCACTCCAGATGGCAGTCACAACGCCAAGGGTTGCGGAAGAGGAAGAGGCGGCCCAGAAAGAAGCCTTGCTGGAAAGCGGTCCAGGAGAGCACGGTGAGGCGGTTGCCATTGAGATGCAGGGCCAGGAGGCCCGAAAGGTTCTGGAAGGCGCCTTCCTCCACAAAAGTGATGCTGTTGCGGTCCAGGTAAAGCAGCTCGAGCTCTGCCAGGTCAGAGAACCAGGCCCGTGCCACTCGACCCAGCTCGTTGCCACCCAGATTGAGTGTGCGCAGGCGGCGCAGGCCTAGGAAGGCAGCGGCAGGCAGCGCGGCCAGCAGGTTGTCATTGAGCAGCAGATGCTCTAGGGCTCCGCAGTCACTGAAGGCCCCGGCGTGCACTGCTCGCACACGGTTGGCCTGCAGGCTGAGAGAGCGCAGGTGCCTCAAGCCCCGCAACGAGCTGGAGGCCACCGCCTCAATGCGGCTGCGCTCAAAGTGCGCGTGCGTCAGGTTAGCCAGGCCGCGGAGCGCGCCGGGCACGCGACGGAACAGATTGTCGAAGGCCATAAGCTCGCGCAGGGCGGGCAGCTCGGCCAGGAGACGCTCGGGCACGCTGAACAGGCGGCAGGCCGCCAGGTCCAGGCGGCGCAGGTGACCGAGCGCCGCGAAGGTTCGGGCGTGCAGATATCGCAGCTCACCATTGTGCGCCAGGCGCAGCTCGGCCAAGCGCGGTAGACCCTTGAAGGCGCCAGGCGTGATGAAGGACAGGTTGTTGTGGCGCAACGACAGGCGGCGTAATGACGGTAGCGTGCCGAAGGCCCGCTCGCCCAGGATGCGCAGGCCATTCCGGTCCAGGTCGATGGAGACCGCCTCGCACGGAAACTCAGTGGGCACCCGCAGGAGGCCAGCACGGTCACAATGCACGGAGCAGCCATGCTCCATGCTGCTGCACGTGCAGGCCGCAGGGCAGACCTGCAAACAGGCCTCGGTGGCCCCGGTGCAGGGCAGGCCGAAGACCACCACTGGACAAGAGAGGGGCCAGAAGAAGAAAAGACAGAGAACAGCAGTCAGAAGTCACCCCAGTAGCAAGTCGCAGACCCTCCACCAAGTCCTGCATCATCAAAGGACCTCTTCCCATATGCTTACCAGCATACATTTCCCCACCTCTAGTGCCCTCCCCTTTGCTTCCAATTGCCTTAATCAGCAAAAGCTGTGCTATAGTCCCTGTGTCCCACATTTCTCTAAGCTTCCTGTGATGATAAGCCCATATCATCACAGTATGCTTTTAGAATGTCACTAGAAGAGTAGTCGCTTGTGTGGGTAGGGGAATCTCTGAGGATGTCACTATACCCTACATTAAGCCCTGTGCTGCCCAGTGCAGCGGCCAATAGCCACATGGGCCCCTAACCATATGAAGTGTGTCCAGCCCAAATTGAGCAATACAAGTATACAGAGGGCACCAAAATAGCAAAATATTACATCAACAATTACGTATGGGTTACATATTGAAATGGTGTTTTTGTATGATACATTGGGTTAATGTCAAATGTTTTTATCTTTTTAATGTGGCTATATTTTTATTGGTGTCATTGGCTCCTTTCACCATAAAAATTCAATTTTTAAAAACTCCCAGTGAGAGCTCACCAAGGCCAGCTGGAGCATGTGATCAAACTGGACCCCCTGAATGTGGCTGTCAATGGGGCTGACTGAGAAGCCAAGGACAATGGCACTGGGTTTTGATTCTACTGCATGGACTGGCTTTGTGGGAGCCTGGTTTGTTTGGATGCTCACCTTTATATACCAGGATGGAGGGGGGAGGACCCTGAACTTCCCACGGGGCAGGGAACCCTGACTGCTCTTAGGACTGGAGAGGGAGGGGGAGGTGGGGAAGGGGAGGTGGGGAGGGAAAAGGGAGGAGGGGAGGAGGTGGAAATTTTTAATAAATAAATAAATAAAAACATTCAATAAAATACTGGCAAACCAAAAAAAAAAAAAAACCTCCCAGTGAGTCAATTAAGCCTTGTGAAAAAAGGAAGAATTAAAGAGCAAGGGGGTTGCAAATGAAAGAAAAGCCTTTCTTTTCTTTTTCTTTAATAGTCACTTGAAAGTTAAAAATTGAGGATACTCTCAGATCCCAGTGATGGCAGGAAAAAAAAAAACTGAAACAAACAGAATGAAGTCTCAGACAAGTTCAACTGGAAGGAAGTGGGGCGACACATTGTGGGGGATCCGGGTTAGGTGCAGACATAGAAAAAAGGCAGGCATTTGACTGGGTTGTTTGAGCAGTATGCGGTCCAGTGGGTTTTGTTAGTCACCGCGGTCAGTGGCTGGTGAGTCACTCTGCAGGGGTTCTTGTTATCTTGTGATAAAGGACAAGCACATGCCATACATTGTCTATAAGGGAAAAGAGACTCCTGGTGGGTTATCAGATTATGAATTAAGGGCATGAGAACCTTTTATTTTCTTGTCCCCACGAGAATGCCTATTTCCCTTTTTCTCCGTCTTATTTTACTTTATTTTGTGCCTGTGTGGGGGTGTTTACATGCAGAGGTCAGAAGACAACTTACAGGAGTCAGTTTTCTCCTTTCTATCATGTGGGTCCCAGGGATCAAACTCAGGTCTCTAGCTTGGTGGCAGATGCTGTTACCTGCTAAGCCATATCACCAGCACTATATGGACTATTATTTCAAAGACAGCATATTAAATACACTATCAGTGACCTCCTATGTCTCAAAAGAATTGATTATGGACACTATGCAGTTAAGTTACATTCACCAGCTGTTACTCTCTAGAAACTTGTTTACATTATACTGGGAAAGAAAAATGCTTATAAATTTTGTTCTGCAAATTCAAGTGGATGATCAAATAAAGTCATCAAAACCTGCCCGCTTCCAGTATGGTTGCCACTGACAACAAACAGCATATCATTATGTGCTTTCTCATGCATGACTGTGGTTCCAAGCCAAGCCTACTCTGAGGACCAATAGAAAAGACAGAGTACTTGGCTAATACACACAAAGCCCTGGGTTCGTCTGCATAAACTGAGTGTATGGTACATGCCTGTAATGCCAACACTCAGGAAGTGGGGGCAGGAGGATCTCAAATTCATCTTCAGCTACACAGTGAGTTCCAGGCCAGCCAAGAACACATAAGAACCTGTAGAAAAGAGAAGAAAGAGAAGACCGAAAGCAGCACTGACAGATGGACCATTTGGTGTTCCAGCCAGGTGGTTTCAGGCAGTATTCATTTTCACAGTTTATACAAGGAAAAGGAGTGTCCATGTGTAAATGTGCCCAATTTCCAGCAGACACCCCTGGTCTGTCATGTCCCTCCCATCATGTCCACAGCACCTGGCCTCTCTAAGCCACTGTGGGAACCTGAAGGCAAAGACAACACAGGGTATGTTCAAGGTGCTCGCTGCCACCTCTGTAGGCTTACTCAGCCCCAGCAGTTCATCTGGTGTGAGCACTCCCTGGTTTCTCAGCTGTTCCAGGGGAGGATTCGGCCATTCCAGATTTGTCTTTGAGTGTTCAATTGAAAACGGGCTACTTCATATTCTGCTGTTAAAGAAGCTTGATATAGCTTTCCCTTCTCCCTAAAAACTGTGAAATAGACATTAAGCTACCAGCAAGATTCTTGGAACCTATACCATCAGATTGGCTGTGAATAAGATCTCTGTTGATTGGTATACCCTGCTAGGGAGGAAGGGCCAAAAACCTTAACTACAGTCCTCTGCAGAACAAAGGAGTAACCTGTTCTCATCAACCCTTCCAACTAGGTCAAGTTGAAGTCTCACATTTCCTTACCAACAGCCCTTCATTCTACTCGCTTCTCCTTTATAATTAAGAAAAGTATGCTCTCAATCCTATGACTCATTTATCTCCTGCTGAACAGCCAGCATTGTTCCAAGCACATAATATGGTTCAATAAATGTTTGCAGAAGTAAATGGAATTGATGCCTTCCTTTGTAAGATTCTTGCCAAAGAATGTCATTTGTTTTAAGTTGTAGACATCTCAGGATTTCAAGGTGACTCACAACTGTCTATAACTCGAGCCATAGAGCATTGTATTAACTATACTATATGTATAATGCAAAAGATCAAAAAGGTGATTGCTAATGATTTTAAATGCTTTCAAGAGATCGAGAGATGTGGAATGAAACTTTTCATTATATAGTGCCCTTTTGGGGGTTTATTTGCTTGGGTTTTTTTGTTGATGCAGTGATATTTTATTTGTATATTGATAAGTAAAGCTTGCCTGAAGATCAGAGTGCAAAGCTAAGCCACTAAAGGGAGTGGTGATACACATCTTTAATCCCAGGACTCAGGAGACAGAGATAGATGAACTCATCTCTGTGAGTTCAAGGCTACCCTGAGCTACACAAGATCAACCCAGAAACAGATCCAGGTGGTGGTGGCTAACACCTTTAATCCCAGTGTTTGGGAGGCACACACCTTTAATCCCAGCACTAGGGAGATGGAGACAGAAGTGATATGACTGGGCAGAGAGAGGCTTATAAAGGAGAAGAGACAGGAACTCACTGGAGTGTGGAATCTGATATTTGGTGGAGACACAGTGCAGTCTGGCAGTCGCCCCTTCGGTCTGAGCATTGGTAGAGGGAAAAGGTCTCTCTAGTGGCTTACTGCTCTACCTCTCTGACCTTCAGTTTTAACCCCTATGTCTGACTGTGGGATTTTATTATTCATGCTACAAGTTGGTTGGTTTTTTGGTGTTTTTGTTTATTTGTTTCCTTTGGTTTTGCAAGACAGGGTTTGTTTGTGTAGCCATGGCTATCTTAGAACTTGCTACAGGCCATGCTGAGCTCGAACAGATAGATCTGCCTGCCTCAACCTCCCAAGTGCTGGGATTAAAGGCAAGTGCCAGCATGCTGTATATTCTTTTTATGAGTAAAAATTTGAGCCACGTTGCTATAGTTTGAGTCTAAAAATTATGCCTCAAAGCCTCATACAGGAAAAGCTCAGCTGCTAACTGGTGGGCTTTGAGAGATGATTGGATCATAGCTCAGTGGATTGTTGAGAGGCAGGAGGAAGCAGGTGGTGGCACACACCTTTAGTCCCAGTGCTCGGGAGGCAGAAGGGCCAACCAGACCTACAGAGTTCCAGGACATCCAAGGCTACACAGAGAAACCCTGTCTTGAAACACCAAGGAGCAAAGAGGGAGGAGGAGATGGAGCGATATAAGGAGTTCTCTGAAAGGTCTGTCTCGTCCCAGGACTCTCTATCTCTCCTTACTTCTGACGGCCATGAGCCAAGCAGCTCTGCTCCTTACTATTCAACATGCTGTACTGTTTCAGTACGGGCCCAGAAACGTCAAAGTGACATGGACTGAAACTGTGAGCCACGTTGTGCATGTGAGTTAGTGCCCAGAGAGGACAAAAGAGTGTTTCCGGTCCTCTGGAGCTGGAGTTCCTGGCAGTTGTGAGCCTCCTCATGTGCATTCTAGAAACCAAATGTGGGTCGTCTGGAAAAGCAGTACTTGCTTTTAATCACTGAGCCAGGCATCTTTTTTAACATGATGAGAAAAAAAGATACCATGTGGATACTTAAGCATTTCAAAAAAATAGATTGTAGTTTACTTTAAATTTCTACAAAATGGTCGGTCAATATACTACCATTAGAGACCTATTTTTGGTCTCTGAAACCTTGAAAACCATTAGAAATAGAAACTAATTTACTGGATTAGTAAGAAAAATTTAAGTGGAATCAAGTCAGTTCTCAAAACAGACAATAAAACTCCAGTATTAGCCAGAAAAGCGGGGCACCAAAAACTATTTAAAATCACTAATAATAGCATATTGTGGTGAGTTCTGCTTGCAATCATAGTACAGTATCTTCCATCGGATGACTGTTTCTGCTGGTCGCTACAATATGTCCATACTTGATGCTACAAGGAGGCTGCAAAGAAAGGTCTAGGTGGTGTGCTACCCAGGGCTTCACGTCGGAGTCACATGAGCCTTTGTAATACTCACAAACCCAAGCTAATTCTATCACGATCTTTAGGG